TGGTACCTGACGCCATAACACTCCTGACATTCTGTTTAGTGGCCGTGTTGCCATAAGTCACACAGCAAAATGAAGTAAATATTTTCAATATACCCATGCCGTTGTTTATTATCGAATGGCAAAAGCTCTAAATCTTGCCAAATCTTCAGTTAGAAAGTAATTCGGCTCATGCTGCGACACCTTTCCCTGCGTCTGTTTACCGTGGAGAAGCGCGCCTGTAAATACGACACGTTACTAACATGTCAACAGATTCCACCTCGCTTTCCCATCGGGCCTCTGATTAGTCCGTTTGTTAAACACGTCCTTCCTCAGAAGCTTTTATTTATATGTTGTCTGTCATCAGATTCAGGCCGACACGTGTTACTGTTTCTGAAATCATTTGTTGTGCGGATTTAGTGGTGCATAACTATAGGGAAATTGTTGGAAAAGATATGTTGTATTAAAACAAGAAATGTTTGTAAATTGCATCAGCAGTACTGTCAAATGAATAAATCCTCCATCAATTTTTGCTGATATTCGTGATATTCCATTTCCAGATAACTAATGACCCTAACATTTAACTCAACCGCTGGGTCAAAACAGCCCAATTGCTGGGTTTGTCCCTATTTAACCCAGCATTTTTTAGAGTGTAAATAGACACAATAAACCAGAAGAACAGAAGTGCTTCAGCTGTAATTCTGCTTACAGAGCACCAGGCCGATCATATGAGTCCCACAGGGGATATACTGAGAGTAAATCAGCTTGTGATGGGAGTTTGGGTGCATTGGGTTTGAGTCCGGCTGGGTACCAGAGTATTTCCGTGCTGAACTTAAGCAAAGGATCATTTAAAGTATCCCAAAAGGTCAGGTTAAAGAAAAGTCGGCATTCTTAAACTCAGAAATGTAAACTGTTTCCTAACCCTAACCCTAACCCTAATTATATTTATATTTAGGCTTTAGGAAAAAGTTAATGTGCTTGTTTTGTGCTCAAACTTAAGGGAGGAAAAATGTACTCATAGTGATTTCCTGTGTTTTCTGATTATTATTGAAGGGGTCATACAATGCTTTTTTAAAGATCATTATTTTGTGTATTTGGTGTAACAGAATATGTTGACATGCTTTAATGTTCAAAAAACACATTATTTTTCAAATACTGTACATTATTGTAGGTCCTCTATGCCCCTGAGGTATATGCTTTTCTATTGTTCACAATTTGTTTTCTTCTTCTAGAAGAGGGTTTATTGAGATACCTTATTTAGAGCTGCTCTTGTATTTCGTGTTGTCTTGATTTTATTGGCCATAACTGCTCAGATTAAGCTTAATTAGCTGACTCAAGAAAAGTATTTGATATATATACTTATCATACAGTATGTCCTCATAAAAGTTAAAAATGCTGCTGAAAATGTTCCAGGGGAAAATCTTGCCCTTTAATAATGACGTGAATTGTAGATTAGTGGAGTTGTTCATTGTTCCTGCAGACCGATGAAATCTGAAAGCAGCGACTCTTGTCACGCAGCACAGGGTCGTTATACAATGAATAGAGAAATATCATCAGTGTGTTAATTCTTTCACAAACTCATCCCTGGAAGTCCTGGAGAAACACCAACATAAATAACACAAGCAATGAAAACCTCCCATACGTTTGGCAATCGCTCAACTCAACTGGTGGTCAGTTTGAAATAAAGTGGGAGAAGAGAATGATTAAAAATGACGGAGAAACGAAAACATGCCACATAAATGAATCCTTAAATGAAAGCTGTAAATTTCTGTTTGTCACAGGAATTATGTCAGAAATCATCTAAAGTATTAAAGGACATTTACTATACAAATACACTGGCAAGATATTTTTAATGCTTTTGAAAGACACCTCTCTTCTGCTGCACTTATTTGATCTAAAGTATAGTAATATTGTGAAATATTATTACAATTTAAAATAGCTGTTTTTATATGAGCATATGTTAAAATGTAATTTATTCCTATGATCAAAGCTGAATTTTCAGCATCATCACTCGTCACATGATTCTTCAGAAATCATTCTAATATGCTGATTTGCTGCTCAAGAAACATTTCTGATTATTATCAATGTTGTGCTGCTGAATATTTTTGTGGAAACCGTGATTCTATGTATATTCAAAAATATCAATTCAAAAACCAGTTTGAAATATTTTTCGGAAAGTGTAGTATGATAGTTGCTGCATATAAAATTATTCCAAGTAACCAAAACAGTAATTACTCAGTGTTTTGCTCCTACAGCACTGATTTACTATGACATACACAGAGGTGATGATGAATTCCCGAGCATCACGATGGCCTTTAGTTCATCAGCGCTCCTCCTGTGTGATGATTTACTGCGGTACTGTCACTGACTCACATGTATCCCTCACCATTCATCCCTAAACGCTCACACGTGACATAATGAGCAGGATTGCATCTGTGACGGAGGCTTTAAAGGGCTGCCCATCAGTTAAGAGTCTTTCTTCTGTCTGTGTGGTTGGAGATGCTTGATCAGATGTTTCTGTGTCCAGAATATTCATTTGTTTTGGTTTGGTTTAACCTCACGTTGGTGTGCACTTACATGTGAAACAAGGTCGAAATGCATCCCATCTGAAACATTTCTTAACTTGTAAAAGATATTGGCAGGTTATCATGACTAACCGGTTTTATTTGTAAAACATAAACGTACTACATCATACGTATTATGATTCCAAAGGTTTTATCAATGCTGTGGCTTTTTGGCTTGTCGAATGTGCAATAAATTGGCAGTGTGGCTTTGATAACATGACTATTTTTACAAGCCGTGACATTTTTAGGGAATTGATGTCCTTCAGACATCTAAGTGCTTTTGAAAAACACAGCTTATTAAAGAAAACAGAGCTGTATGTTTGGAGTGCCCTATGCGGTTTGTTTCTGTAGATGGTGTATAAAGAAGTCTTGGCTCGTGGAAAGGAAGCTGAAGGCCTCGTTTTTTCACGAAGACACGTTGTGGAGGCCCTCAAAGCTACTGGATTGAGAGCATTTGTGTTTAAGATCCGTCATTGTGAACTCTGGAAATGAATGTCATGGTGGAAGGAGACACATTCGTTGAGCTTTAAGTGAGCTTATGCTTTATAAACAAACAGAAACGCTATGCTCACTGCTCAATATCTGCTTGCTAAAACAGATTTGAAGGAAAATCAACAGCAAAAGGTCCTGTTTGTTTCAGAAACACATTCTGTGGCTTCAGTTCAAGGCTTTTGCTGCTTCTTATACTCTCAAAAATAAAGGTTTGCAGAGCAATGCCGTAGAAGAACCATTTTTCTTAATGTGAGGAACATTTTAATGATCTAAAGAGCCTTTTTGCACTATAAACCTTTGGTGGTTTTATGTGGAATTTAGTGGAATTATTTTTAAGAGTGTAGACGATCAATGATAGTCCAGTAAATGACAATGTTAAAAGTATAAACCAAAAATGTTCTCTTCATTTACTCATCCTCATATCTTTCCAAACCTGCATACTCTTTCTTCTGTGGAACACAAAAGGGGATGTTTAGCAGAATGTTCAAGCTTACAATGAGATTGAATGGTGATAAATGGACAAAAACAGATAAAAGCATGAATAGTTCATGTGCACTACATTTCAAATCTTAAAAGAATATTTCAGCCAAAAATTTTTATTTGCTGAAAGTTTACTCACATTCAAGCCATACAAGATGTAGATGAGTTTGTTTCTTCATCAGATTTGGAGAAATGTAGTGTTTCATCACTTGCTCACCAATGGATTCTCTGCAGTGGATGCCGTCAGAATGAGAGTCCAAACAGCTGATAAAAACATCACAATAATCCACACCACTCCAGTCCATCAGTTAACATCTTGTGAAGCCAAATGAAATAAATTGTTTTGGAAGTGTTATTATGGATTATGGATTTGTATTTTAACCAGAAGCAATGGTTTGAAGTTAAAAACATCTTAAAGGGTTAGTTCACCCAAAAATGAAATTTAGGCTGTATTTTACTCACCCCAGAGCCATCCTACGTGTATATGACTTTGTTCTTTCAGACGAATCCAGTCGGAGATAGATTCAAAATTGTCCTGGCTATTCCAAGCTCTATCATTGCAGTCAGCGGGTGTTGCAGTGCTTCAGTCCAAAAGAAGTTAAATAAAAAGCGCCCATCCATAAAAAATTGTCTCACACGGCTCTGGGGGGTGAACAAAGGCCTCATGTAGAGAAAATTTAAATCCATAATCCATAATAACACTTGCAAAACATTTGTTTTATTTGGCTTCACAAAATGTTAACTGATAGACTGGAGTGGTGTGGATTATTGTGATGTTTTTATAAGCTGTTTGGACTCTCATTCTGACGGCATTGTCTCACACGGCTCTGGGGGGTGAACAAAGGCCTCATGTAGAGAAAATTTAAATCCATAATCCATAATAACACTTGTAAAACATTTGTTTTATTTGGCTTCACAAAATGTTAACTGGAGTGGTGTGGATTATTGTGATGTTTTTATAAGCTGTTTGGACTCTCATTCTGACGGCACCCATTCACTGCAGAGGATCCATTGGTAAGCAAGTGATGCAATGCTACATTTCTCCAAATCTGATGAAGAAACAAACTCATCTACATCTTGGATGGCCTGAGGGTGAGCATATTTTCAGAAAATTTTAATTTTGGGGGGAACTCTTCATTTATGACAGCTTTGTGTGAGAACCAGGCTGAAATGTAAATTGTTATTTATTGAAAGTCTTGTTTGACAGCTGTTGTCACCATTTACGTTCATTTTATGAAGAGCAGCTTGAACATTCTGCTAAATCTTTCCTTTTATGTCCCATGCAAGACATGGGGGTGAATAAACAATTGTAATTTTTTGGTGAACGATCCCATGAACATGTTTGTCATCCTAAATGGTCTTGTAATGTTATAGTCGGTTTATGGATCCGTTGCGTGAATGTGAAATGATCTGTGGCATCCCTCACATGTTGAATATGACTGGGTTTTGATGTGTGTGTTTTGGCCTGGACAGACGGCAGCTGATTGGGACGCAGTGGGAGCGTGAACAGGGCAATGAATGCAGTGAAGAACAGTGAACAGATGCCAGATCATGAGTCCAGCATGAGGAAGCCTGACCTTCATCCCTGCTCAAACACAGAGCACAAGAACGGTGAGTGCATCATCACACCAGAGCAAAATCTAGCGTCAAAAAACTGAGAACACTTTAGTTATTGCATTGAATCTGTCTTACAAGTTGCAATGTCAAAATTTATACATTAGCATGGAAAACATTGCATGGATGCCACTTTTGACAGCAGATGAAGGACGATCGATGGAGGGCAGCTACTACTAGTTAACTTGTACAGTCACAATTCTTGAGTCTCGAGTAATTTTCCAGAAGTAACATTGATTATGAGTGTATTATATACTGGCACTTTAGTGTGACATTAAAATTCAGGTAACAGATGCAATGAAGTTAGTCAAAGTCAGTCATGTCAAATGCATTTCTCCAAAGTCCTTTTAAGACAAGTCATGTCACTCGGCGACCGTCTTTGAAACGCCTCTCGGGCATGCAAGTGCAGCTCCTATCTCCGGGACTTCTAACGGCAGCTGCAGTGTCGCGCTGACTTTACCGATTAGCGATTGGCTCTTTCATTCAGAAGGCGTGGCTTCCTGTGATTGAGTGGCCATATTGAGCGTTGCATTTTTCCCCATTCAAAACTATACGAGTGACACGTCTTGGGTATTCTATAGTCTTTGATTTCTCCAGCACAGAACGTTCTCCTAATGTTAGTGTACGGTTCTCATTTGATGACTTTTTAGGAACTAATTCCAACCATTCTTGCAATGCGCTTTAATTTTTAATAGCCAGAATGTTGCAACAGAATGTTGCATGGGTTTTGTGTGTGTGTGTGTGTGAGACAACCTAATGTGAACTTAAAGTGAATTTTAACTAATGCTTATTTTAAGTGCCGTATTTTTTTTGCTTTATCAACATGCACTGAGTAACGTTTATAGTCATGAAATCAGGGATGCATTTGAGATGCATGCATGCAACGTTTCAGCTGAACTATTGAGATCGGGTGACCTGAGATGGAGGTTAATAGCCGCCGTATATCTCGTGTTCTCTCTGCACATCACAAATCTGTCTGCAAAACACAGCAGCATACCTGCAAACAGACACACAGAGTACAAAAGTACATGGGGTCATTGATAACCTCATACCAGTTTATGAAACTTTATGACAAATGATTTAATCATTTTCCTTCATGATCTCGAAATGCGAATATTCCTCTTTAAGAAAAGCGTTTATTTTTGCCAATATACATACCAGGTAAATAGGTAAGTATGCAAAGCACGGCTCTGCCAAGAAGCTCCCCTGGCCAGATAAAACAAGATTGTTTGAACACTTTATTAGAAGCAGCTGATGACTAATCCATGCTGAAATATCAGCGCGCTCCGCTTTTCCACTTCATAGTCTAATCAAACCAGCTTAAATGCCACTCGAATCACAAGGTTTAGAGATGAAAGTATTTGCGGAATGCCGCGATACAAACTGTATTTTTAGAATGATGGATCCCTGGACTCCCAGCTCATTCTGAGAGAGAGACTCGGCTTCCCAGTTTTCCATGATGTCATGTGTGGCGTTTGGGTGAAAGCGATCGAGGGGGCAAGAGAAGGTTTGAGCCATTTGAGCTCTTCGGGTGAGTCTGACCGTGAAGATTTGTTGTGTATTTGCTTACATTGTTTGGGAATTGTAGCAACACACTTTAATGCTGTTAACAGAACAGCACTGTTAATCCTGAAGCTCAGTTCTCACATGCAGACATGGAGTGGAAACAGGCATTACATCACAGTTTGTCAAATACTGCAGCTATGCGGTCTTGTTAAACAAAAGTACGACTTTCAAAGTATGAAACTGGCACATTTTGTGCATTTGTTTTGGTCAAATAACCTGAGCGAGCTGAATGTAACCGGCCTGAAGATACACTCTTCAGCTCAAATGAAAATAAACATGCATGCATTCATCAAAACTCTAAAAATGTAAAATAAAAATGGGGATAGATCACCCAAATTCTCACAGGTTTGGAACGATATAAGGGTGTGTGAACGATGACAGAATGTTCATCTTTAGGTGAACTATCTCTTTAACTTGAGCTCTTCAGATCACTGAGCTCAAGCCTCAAATGGAAAGGCCGAACCATCCTGTGACGTGAGCTGATCGCTTTAAACTGTCACACAGATGCTGTGTGTGGATTTGTTTAGGATTAACACAAATCACATAAACTAAATACACAACACGTCCCTAAAATAATAAATCTCAGGTGTTGTGTACAGCATGTCAGTGTGTTGATGTGTTGAGAGGATCCACAGGATGGCATCATTCACACAGCAGTGGCTGCACATGCTAGCTTTGTTACAGAGATGACACTTCTGTTAGAAAATATTATGTCATTATGAAACTGCATGGCATTCCGTGGAATACAAAAAGAGATGTTTAGCAAGATGTTCAAGCTGCTCTTCCATACAAAGTAAATAAATGAATGATGTCAAGCTCCAAAAATGACAAAAAGCACCATCAAATTCACAGTAGTCGTCCATATGACTTGTGCAGGATGTTTCAAATCTTCTGAAGACCTTTGGTGGCTTTGTGTGAGGAATAATTAAAAATAAAAAAGTAAGTAGTTATTCACTGCAAAGCATGATAAAGAAAGTGTGTATGTGATTAAATAACAATGCAAATTTCAGTCTGTTCCTCAAACAAACTCATCTCATGAGCTTAAACTTCATTCATCTTATATGGAAAAGAACAGTGTGAACATTTTGCCTCACTGCAAAAAATTTTTTTTAAATCCTAACTTAGTATTTTTGTTGTTTTCCCGTTCAAATATCATTCTTACAAATAACAATCTTAAATGAAGATGCATTTACTTGGTAAGGAAAATTAATGTGATATGTCTTGTTTTCTGAATAATTGAATCAATCAGTAAATAAATAAATTTATGCTCAAACCCAGAAGAAATATCTGCCTAGTAAACTAGTTTTTTTTCTTCTGACCCCTTTGACAGATATTTATTCTTGTTATTTATGTTTTAAATTTTGATGCATTTTTTTAAGGAAACAATTTTATTCATTTAAGCCATTTTGCTTAATCGTGTATCTTGATTTAAGAACGTTTAGATATTTGAATTGGAAAACAAGACAAAAAAACGGAAGATGAAAACTTTGCAGTGTGAACATCACATTTTTTCTTCCATGGAAGAAAGAAGAGGTTTGGAACGACATGAGGGTGAGTAAAAGATGACCCATTTTTCATTTTGGGGTGAACTATCCCTTTAACTTTTCTGTTAATTGTCCCCAGAATGTGCATGTATTTTTATCTCACGATCAGTTTCTGGTTTCCTTTGCACTATTCTTCTGGAGCTGAAGAAAGGCTTTTTGTCAACAAACTACATATGCTTCAGATCATCTCAAAGTGTGTCTGTCCGCCGAAGTGCTACTGTTTACATTTTGTTCTTCCCATTAAACCATTGTTTGTTAGTTCATTTGTCAGCGAGTGCTGCTGCGGCCTAATAAAACAAAGCGTCTGACGTTGAGTGGATTTTCTGTGTTGTCGTCAGGCTCATTTGTCATTGATCTGAGGAACAGGCTGACTGACGTCATGATCAAAGCGAGACACGAGCGCTCATGACAGGACTGAGCACAACATCAGCACCGGGTTCCAAACACTCTCAAATCAACATTCTTTCCTCCACACTATATTTCATAATCTGCGGCGGCAAAACTCTTCGCTCTGCTGCTTCATGCAAACAGTTAGAGGAGAGGAAGTGAATGAGGAACTTAGGTCAGTTCCTATCAAACACACCACCAATCACACCGCAACGTCTGGACACACATGACTGCATTTGTTTCTGAAAAAGAGAAAAAAACTTTTGAAGTTGCTCGTAATTACTCTTCTAACCACTGATTAGGCTTTCTTTAGTGAATGAGTTGGAGCAGATTGCTTTGCTTTGATTTGTTTAGCATTTTTAGACATCATGATCAGATTATTATATTTTATTATGAATTATTAAATAAGAATTATAAGTTATTAAAATAAAGAATGAAGTAACTGTGTTCAGACTTTTTTGTGGAAACCTGGAATAAAAAATTAAAAGATCGTTGTAACTTTTTATCTCACAATTCTGACTGTTATTTTTTGCAGTACTGAGTTTACACCCCACAATTATTTTTTTCTTTTTTTCCTGCCACGGAATAAAAAATTCAAATGGTAATTGTGACATTTGATCTCACAATTATGACTTTTTTCTTTCTTCTGTGTTTATATCTTGCAGTTTGGCATTTATATCTCACAGTTCTGCTTTAATATCTCATAACTCTACATTTATATCTCATTTCTGAGTTTATATCTCACAATTCTGTTAATATCTCATAATTCAGAGTTTATATCCCACTGTTCTGAGTTTATATCTCATGATTCTGAGTTTATATCTCAAAATTCTGTTAATATCTCATGATTTTGCATTCATATCTTGTAATTCTGAGTTTATATCACAATTCTGCGCTAGTATCTCACAATTCTTTGTTAATATCTCATCATTCTGAGTTTATATCTCATGATTCTGTTTATAGCTCAAAATTATGTTAGTATCTCATAATTCTGCATTCATATCTTGTAATTCTGAGTTTATATCACAATTCTGCGCTAGTATCTCACAATTCTTTGTTAATATCTTTCAATTATGAGTTTTTCTCTTGTAATTCTTTGTTAATATCTCATAATTCTGAGTTTATATCATAATTCTGTGTTAATAGCTCATAATTCTCAGTTTATGTCTCACAATTCTGAGTTTATGTTTTGCAATTATGTGTTAATATCTCATAATTCTGCATTTATATCTTGTAATTCTGAGTTTATATCAATTCTGCGCTAGTATCTCACAATTCTTTGTTAATATCTCATAATTCTGAGTTCATATCATAATTCTTTGTTAATATCTCATAATTCTGAGTTGATATCATAATTCTGTGTTAATATCTCATAATTCTAAGTTTATAACACAAATCTTAGTTTATATTAATGTATGCATTTAGCAGACACTTTTATCCAAAGCGACTTACAGTGCATTCAGGCTATACATTTTTTACCAGTATGTTGCTATGTTTTTT